GTGGAGGTCGCTGTGGAAAGGGGGGGTCTGTATGTTACCTCGCGCCATATCCCAAAGGGACGCATGCGCTTAAATGATTACAATCAATCAAATCAATCAATCAATCTGAGGTGTGGAGGGTTATGATGAGAAAGAGGAGAGAAGGAGCTCGAGCTAGAGCTCAACTCAAATGGCATCCCTCGCCAGGTGCGAAGGGGTGGCGAGAACAAAGGTTGAAAGTGGACGAAATCAATGTATGGAATGAACCAATGTAATGAAACCAATGGGGTGGGGGAGGGAGAAGGTGTGTAGAGTGGTTGTCGCGCCATATCCCTACGGGACGCATGCGCTTAAATGAATTCAATCAACCAATCAGGTGTGGAGGGCTCGGGGGACGGCAGGGTCCCTCAAATCCAGAAACTCATCAACGAGCAGGCCCGCACCATCACAGGAATGCTCCGGAGCACGCCCATAGGGCCCCTAGTTAGAGAGGCTGGTCTACACCCCGCCATGAGCCTTCTAAGGCACCGTCAAAGAAAATACGCCCTCAGAGCCCTGAAGCTCCCTCTTGACCATCCCCTCGCAATGATACTTCCACTCGACACATACGGCATTGGAGAAGATAGGCCAAGCATCTTAGGCAGGGTAATGTGAAACTGCGTCAATGACTTAAGTTAAGAAGGGACTACCGGCAGAACCGCACGGAGGAGGAGATTGGAAGACGGTCATATCACGCAGACAGAAGAAGAGGAAGGAAGTAACAGACATATCACCCAGGAACCATACCACCAGCACTGAAACTCGGTTTATAATCGAAAGAAAGAAAGAAGGAGATGCTGCCCGATCCCGGAATTAGTGGTGGCAATGAACGCCGCCCTCAACGAAACCAAAGCCCCCCGCATATCCGAGTCCAGAAAGTAGAGGTAAATAGGAAAGGGGCAGTCATGGCCAAGGTGGTTGTGAGATATGCTGTGACTAGGGCCATGGAGCTCACCGTTGCGAACGTGTAAAAGAACCCGCTTGCCTGCTCTGTGGAAATGACCACCAAACTAAGGACTATAAAGGCCAAGGGGAGGAGTGCAAGACAGGCTGAGGAAGAAGCTGCCGTCACCTGGTGAAGAGATGCTGCAATTGTGGAGGAGCATACACCGCCAGGTCAGACGAGTGTATGAAGAAACTTGAAGCTCTGAAGGCTGCGAGAGAACGTATCATACAGAAGCAGCAGAAGAGCTCCTAAGACGGGTGGCTCGAGAACCAAGGAAAAGACCAAAAAGACACACCACCAACCCCGCTAATTGAAAAGTCTGCCCTGGGACCCAACGACATCGAAATGGAAAATCAAGAGGAAGAATTATGAAAGTAGTACAACATAACTGCCGGAAAAACGGGGAGGTGACTCAAGCTGCCCTTCAAGCGGCCATAGAATTAAGAGTAGACGTTGTATTGCTGCAAGAACAGGGATACTCCAGAGGCCCTCGGGGGACAACGAAAGTCAGCCATGCAGCCGTCACGTTTTATGAGCCATCACAAGGGAGCCGAAGAAATAGGGCCATGGCAGCGGTACGCAAAGGAAGCAAATTGATAGCGGAACACCGGATAGATATCACCGACACTCCAGACATCATAATCCTGGACATCCGCAGAAAATACGCCAACAGCAGAGAATGGAAAATGAGAATAACGAATGTATACGACAACTGGATAACCGGAAAAGAGAAAAGAAACAACAATGGGAAATGGAGAAGCATCGATGAAGCGGATTGGGCAGCGATCATCACAAATCGGATCATAGTAGCGGAGGATTTCAATGCTCACAGCCCACCATGGAATCAACACTGCACAGGGAGAGTAAACGCAGAAAGACTCGAGAACGTAATTGAGAATTACGATCTGCTCATAGCCAACGACCATAGTGCGGCTACATACATTCGCCCCAATGTCTGATCGATCTCCATCATCGACTTCTCCCTATATACCCCAGATGTCATCATAACAGCGTGGGCAGTGGCTGAGGAACACACGACAAGCTCCGATCACGAACTACTGACATGGGAGACTCCGGACGGAGAAGAGAGCTAGAACCCAGCAGCCACAACGCAAGGCCACACCGGGTGGTCTGTCTCCGCACTACTCGGAGACGAAGGGAAAAGGAGGCACGCTGCATATTTGTGGAGGACGCTCGCCCATAATAGACCCAACATCCAAGAGAGGAAGGCTCAAGGGTCCGGAAGAGAAGCGATAGGAATAGAAGAGGTAGAAGAAGCGAGGTGGATCCAAAATACCACGAAGACAGTACTAGACAAGCACGCGCGCAAACTCCGAATTACAGCCCAATCAAAACGCTGGTGGAATCAGGATATTGTTAGAGCTCGAAAAGACCTGTCCAAAGCGAAGAGGGACCCTCCGGCAGACAAGAAGAGAGAACAGAGAAAACGAAACAGAAGAAGAAGAAGAAGCTAACTGGGTAGTCAGGGAAGCCCAGCGCTCAATCCACAGGCTAATTCGTAGGGTAAAACGAAGTACATGGCAGAAATTTCTACAGAACGTGTCAGATAAAGAGGTCTGGCTGGCTGGCGCTAAAGCACACAAAATATGTGACTCCATCGACAACGTCCATGCTTAGAGACGCCTGAAGAAACAAGGCAATATCGTTAAAGCAA